CCTTTCTCTGCTAAATAACACAAGTGTTCCCAGCTGCTGTGCAGCTGCAGGGAGTCTGCTTTCCTTCACAGGCATTAAAAAGCCTTTAATCAGTGTTTGTTGTTTGTCAGCAGTGGTGTTGAGGTGTGGAGAAAAAGAACAGATATGCTTTGTTGGCAAAGTTAACTTCATTCTGACCTCTTATCTTTCCTTTTTCTTTTCAAGTCTGAAGAAGCAGAAAGTAGTTTGGGAAGTGGTTTCTGCAAGCACCTGTGTAAATGTATTTGCTAAAGGAGGAGGTTTATGTCCTTATGCAGATACAGCATTTGACATAAAAAGATGCTCTGAGAGCTGCATTGAACTGGAAGCTCTTTAGGGGAGGGACTCAAACTGACTGATGTAGGAGCTGTGCAGGCTCCCTTAATGTAAGCAAATGCTATGAAAATACAAATATTGTTGTCTAATACTAGTGTTACTTACACTTATTTTAGTATTGACTCTACATTTAAGGGATACCACTTGCAATCTAGTCAATTTTAACATTTTCCTGGAAAATAAATTATTCCTGCTAGGTTTTATGTGATTTTTTTTTGTGGGGTTTTGTGTGGTGGTTTAGGTTTTTTTTGTTTTGTTTTTTCTTTAGTTCTGCTTTTAATAGTTCTTCTTTCATGGAGGAAAAGGGAGGAGAGAAACGGACTGATAAGCCAGTGACATGGTCCTCAGTCCCATTTGTTTTGAATGCTGAAGCAAATAGGAACATGGGTATCAAAAAAAGAAGCTTTGAGAAGTCTCAGCGCTAAGATCATTCTTTCCCTTTTCTTTCTAGATGAAGCTTGGAAACCTGCTGGTGCTGCACATAGTTTTTGCAGGGTCACCTTTTCCCTGAGTCAGATCAGTTCATGTTGTGTGTCTGTGTACAGCACCAGGCACAGCTCTGTGAGTGTTGATTCTGTTGTTTGCGAAGCACTGGTGCTGCACATAGTTTTTGTAGGGTCACTTTTTCCCTGAGTCAGATCGGTTCATGTTGTGTGTCTGTACAGCACCAGGCACAGCTCTGAGTGTTGATTCTGTTGTTTGCGAAGCCTGTTTGTGAAGGCATCCTGAGGCAGTTAGGATCACAAGCTTTGATTTGAGCTTCAAGGGCCATGATAGGAAATTTGGTGTTAAAGGCAGAATACTTTGTCTTGCTATGCTTCCCCTGGTTTGAAAAGACCAGAGAATTGTGTTACTGCCTTGGCTGTACCTGGGGAGGGTTGGTAGCCAAGCGTCGGGGCACCCTGTGCACATTGCTCCAGCAGTATCTGCTTGCTTCAGCAGTATCTCCTCCAGCAACCAAGGTGCTCTTGGAGCAGGGCTGTGCTCCATGGAAAAGGAGCGCCTGCTTGCTAGAAGTGGGAGTAAAGAACTCGGAACAAGTAACTTATGAATTGTAGTCTTAGCTGTTAAAATGGTAGATTCATATGCTCTCCCCATGGGCAGACACATATTTCAGCATTCATCCAGTGTTTCTCTTCCAGTGGCTGAGGCTGCTTACAAAGGAGAGGGCATTTGTTGTGCTCTTGGACAGGCAAAATGCCAGAAAGAAAACTCTGTGCTGGGCAGGAGGGGATGGACGCTCAGAACAGCTAGTATGTTAAATGTCTCTGAGTGGTCTGTGTTGATGATCACTTCTGTAGCATGAAGGCTTACCAGCCAGAAGCGAGACAAAGAACCACCGTTTTACTGTCTCAAAACTGGCAGGGCTGCTGAGCAAAGACAAGGGCTCTGAGCTACAGTGGAGCAGGTGTCCTACTGTAAGGGGGAGTTTTTGAAGCCCTTAAGTAACATCTCCAGGAGATCCAGCCTTTCTGGCAGTGTTGTCTGATCACATGAGAAGAACCCTGATCGGACAGGCATAATTGTGGATCCTTCTGGAAATTATTGCAGACTTTTACAATTATAATGCAGCCAAACAAAACAAGCACCATCTTGTGCAACTACGTAAACCATAAACTTTTTTGGCAAGGCAGGTGTGGCATCTTCTGTGTCTGGAAAGCACCTAACATGCTGTGTGGGCTCTCTACTGTAATCCAAATTACAAATGCTAAAAAGGCTTTGATTTTTTTTTTTTTATAACATGGTTCTTGGCTTAATTTGGGTAGGCAAGAACTTCATAGACTGCATTGGGATGTTCTGCATGTTTCCTCAGGCCCTCATAATTAATCAATGCTGAGCTGTTTCTCCCTGTCCCTCTGTGAGGAGGCACTGGAGGAAAGCTGTTCTGTAGCCTTAGGTTTTTGCTTATTTGTGTCAGCCCTGACAAGGACTTTTTATTCTTCAGAGATGCCCTTTCTGGGAGGAGGAGCGTTCCTGGCCTGCAAGGCCCCTCCATACTAAGTATTTTGATACAGGCTGCAGAAGGCTTAGGGGAGTTTTCATGATACAAGCTGAGTTTTCAGTAAGTTTGTAATATGGTCTGATGCTGGGAACCATTATTCTGGCTTTTTTTTGGTGCACCTCTGGGTAACTCTGATCTGTGGAACTTGACTTCTGACACAAGGAATTTGCAAAAAGTTTCATGCCAGAAGCTCAAGCCCTCAAAGTTGTGATAAATGGCAGATGCGCGTGTTCCTTCTAAACCAGAATGGCTTCTGCATTTTACTGAATATGTAATGGTTGTATGTGCACCATACTGTGCTATCAGGCAGCTCTGCTTTTAAAGTCTGTTTATACAGACAGCTGAAAAGCCTTGTGAGTCTTTCAGGGTCTCTGACATCACATGCTGGGAAGAAGCTTCAGCATCTTCAGTCTACTGCTTTTTGCTGTATGTTTATAGTCACTGGTGATCTTTGCCCCTTGGGGGCTACAGAAAGACATTACTGTAGCCAGAGCAATTCCAAGCTAAATTGTGATAGTCCAATCCCTGACAAGAACTGGGCAAAAATCTGGTCCAGCTTTACAGTGTTTTTATAGTCTAGTCCAGGTCTCTATAAACCATTTAAAATTGCCTTCAGGTTTAAATTTTCCAATTTCCCATTTGGAACAGGTGTTGCCAGGTTATAGAAAGTGTTGCAGAAAAGGAACAAAAACATTTTAAACTCTGCTGTTACAAATTTTGGTGAGTCTCTGACATGAGATTTTTTTTTAAAAAAGTTTGCCCCACCCAAATTAAAACAAGTGCAGACTTTGCTTACTTTTCCCAGCTGTTATGTTTAAATAGGGTTTTAACTAATGCATGAGTCTTCAAAAGATGCAGCAGTACAGAGCTAATATGTTTTTATATGAAAATATGCAACTTCTCAATGTTTTTAATCTCATTCAATTGGGGAGAGAAAGGGGGTGAAGAATTTTTTTAAATGTCAAAAAACAAATTTCAGAGATGCATGTTCTTAGAGTGGTTAAAAACCAACCCAAACTAGGCTTCAGGCAATGTTTTTTCAACAGCTTTAACCTCAAAGTGTAGAGCAGACAGCTTTGTAGGCAACTGTAACACCAAGGTGATTATGGCAATGACTCACACTTCCCTGTAAGGCATCCAGCCATCAACACACTTAGAGAGCCGTGGCTTTGTGCATGCAGGCAGGGTTTCAGTCAGTGCCCACTTGCCAGCCAGCTCTGAACTGCTGAGCTCATACCTGCTTTGACAGCAAGCTGGGATATTGGTGTATTAGAGAGCAATTCTGGTGTCCCCCCCAGGCTTGTGGGAGGCTTAAGAGATGGGAGCTTGGGAAGGGGAAGTGCAAGGCAGGTCTAGCTTCCCCAAGCAGGTTTATCTTCCCTTTTCTTTGCTCAGTCCTCATGAAACTTGTTTCAAGAGTCCCCTGAAATCTTCCTGTGAGCTGGTGGTTGGGTTTGGGTAATAGTTAAAAGTCTGACTGACTAACCACTAAGTGGGGTAGTATGGGAAGTGGTTGGGGTAGCATGGGAAGGGCTGCTACTATAGCATCCTGGTGAAACTCTTCCAATGGTTATGGAAAGAGGACTGGCAGTTGGGGTCCTCAGGAAGACAGTATGAACTTGGGAAAGAGAGCTGGGTAGCCCTATAGGCAGCTCAGAGTCCAGCTGAGGGTACAACAGTAAACTACTGCCAGATGTTGGGATTTGCAAGGAACAAGTGAACAGAAAGTGGAGACTCATTCATATGCATTGTGCATTTTCCCTTCTCCAAAAGATAAGGCAGAAGCCAAGCTGCCTTCAGAGAAGGGAGATGGCAGTGTTTTGTGGTATGGAGGGAGTCTCCTGGGCAAGGAATTGGGAGAGTGGGGTTGTTCGCATCGAGAGACTGATAAAAAAAAGCGCCACATTTATACAAAACAGGTGGCATCTGAACTTAATGCTTGGTAAGAAGAGGTATTCAGAAAGATGACAAGTTCAAACTTCTGAAAGGAAATAACTTTTCACCTAGTGTGCAGTTAGATTGTGGGATGCATGGAATGCAATTGCCAACTGGGCAGGATGTCATCAGGAAAGAACAAAACGTGGCTTTGAGAGTGTGCAGGTATGCTGTTGCAGGTGGTATCCACAGATGACATAAGTAAAGCTTTGAAAAACAAATAACTGGTAATATAAAGCTGGCCACAACCATGGTTCAACTACAAATAACCTATCAAGATTGGCCTTAGTATTCCTCCATCCTCGTTGATAAGTTTCTTGCACCTCTGACTAAAATTGGCTAGTACCAGATACTGGTTTGTGGAAGGGCACTGGGCAAGTTGGGGTGTTGTGACTCAGTATTGCCCTTCCTGTTTGGGTTGTGTTTGGCTTTGCACATCTTATGTTTTCAGAGGTGAGGCAGAGTGAGTAATGTTTCCGTTCTATTAAAGAAAATGGAATGGCAAAGACCCTTAATTTTTTTTTTTTAAAGATGTACGTGTTTCATTTTAAGTTCCCTTCAGGCAAAGTCAGCTTTGGTAGGCAGCTTAAACTGCATTATAGACCATATTGCTATTGTCATTAAAAACAAAATACACCATGCTCTGTTTTGTGAAACCAAACAAAACCAATATCTTTTTTCCCTCCCTCCCTTTTTTCACTTCCTTCAGTTTTTAATAAGTGACCGTGACAGAGACCCTCAGTGTAACCTGCATTGCTCCAGGTCCCAGTCCAAACCCCTCTGTGCCTCCGACGGCAGAACGTATGAGTCAATGTGCGACTACCAGAGAGCCAAATGCCGTGAGTCAAGTCTGAGCGTGACACATCGTGGCCGGTGCAAAGGTAGGTGGTTTTAAAGTGCCTTTGAGGGGAGGAGTGGGAGTTCTACCTTTATAAGAAACTGGATTCTTAGACCCTTGAGTTTAATACCATGGTCTGTGAGTAATCTGATTGAAATTGTGTGTTCATGTGAGGATGAGTATCTAAGTGTGTTTAGGTGGCAGGTGTAAGAACTGACCAAATTATCAATGAAAGAAGGCAAAGTAGACAGAGACATTGCTGAAAAAGGGATGAAATATGTGTCTGCAGAGCTGGCAAAGCTACCTCTATGGAAATGCAAAATCAAATCCTGAAAGAAGAGATCTTCCTACCTGTGCTGGTAAGGAACTGAGAGACCTTTGAGTGACAGGAATGTGGAGTTGGGAAGAACGTGCTGTGCACATTAGATGTCTAGTCCCTTTTCAGACATACACAGCTTTTCTGTGCTGAGCTAATTAAGATGACAATGCATGCAAGGCTTTACATGGCCTCTTTTGCCTGTTTGCTGTTACACATCTACTTAAAAGTGAGAATATTGTTTCTCTCTCAATTCAGCTCTTCAGCATAGCATAAAGATGAAGTTGCAACTTAATAAAGGAATATTGGTGTCTTGCCACACAAATGGTTTGCTTCTGCAGTGAAGTGAAAATCAAGTTGAATGCATTTTCTGAGAGCACAATTGACTCAGAGGACAGATGGCACAGATGTTTTTAGCAATTGGTTAAAGTGACAGGAGAAACTCATTAAAATCCCTGTGGAAGGTTAAGCATACATTTAAGCTTGACTTTTGTTTATGAAGGCTTTTTTTACTATTATAAAAATGTATCTTTGTCAGAATAACTTGTTCTAAAATGGAAATGCCTTTTCAATGTATTGACAAGCTTTATAGTTTAGGTGACTTATGAGCATGACCTCAAATACTGCTCTTAAACAGTTTCTCATTGGAAAAAAGCTTACTTCACAGAATCACAGAATCACGGAATGGTTAGGGTTGGGAGGGACCTCTGGAGATCATCTAGTCCAACCCCCCTGCCAGAGCAGGGTCACCTACAGCAGGTTGCACAGGACAGCGTCCAGGCGGGTTTTGAATGTCTCCAGAGGGGGAGACTCCACAACCTCTCTGGGCAGCCTGTTCCAGTGCTCCACTACCCTCAAAGTAAAGAAGTTCCTTCTCATGTTAAGATGGAACTTCCTATGTTCAAGTTTATGCCCATTACCCCTCGTCCTATCACTGGGCACCACTGAAAAAAGACTGCTCCCATCCTCCTGGCATCCTCCCGAGAAGTATTTTCAAGTACTAATAAGATCCCCCCTCAATCTTCTTTTCTCTAGACTAAAGAGACCCAAGTCCCTCAGCCTTTCTCCATATGAGAGATGTTCCAATCCCCTAATCATCTTCTTTGCCCTTTGCTGGACCCTCTCCAGCAGTTCCCTGTCCTTCTTGAACTGGGGAGCCCAGAACTGGATGCAGTACTCCAGATGCGACCTCACCAGGGCAGAGTAGAGGGGGAGGATGACCTCCCTCGACCTGCTGGCCACACTCTTCTTGATGCACCCCAGGATGCCATTGGCCTTCTTGGCCACCAGGGCACATTGCTGGCTCAATGCATGTTTTGTATGATTTAGTTTTCTCCCCACTGCTGGGTTGCTTTATAGTTCTTGCAAGTGATGCACTTCTGAGTATCACAATAAGAAGTGTTAGGGTGGGAGTCCTGCTTTTGCTTTCATCACTTGACCAGAGTGGCTTAGATAAGCAACTCCATGGCTGATACTAGCATATAAACTGGCACTGTTCAGTCACTTAAAACATGTGATCTGAAATGTGGTATATCCATATGCAAAAGTGTCTGTTTCTGGAAGTGGAGAAAACATTGCCAAACTACACAGCCTACTGTATATCATGATTGCAAAGAGTCCCAAAGAAGTAACTGAAGACTTTGTCTTAAGCACAGTTAAAGCATACTTTCCTTTCTGCATTCTCAGACATAACTGAAATGTTTAACTGAAACTACTTATGTTTCCCTTTCCTTTTTCCTCTTACCCTGTGGTACTATGCAGTACCTAATAACTTGGGAGTGTTTGACAACTGCAAGTCTTGCTTTTAACCCACTAACACTCATATGAATCCCTGGGAAGTAGGAATATTCTTTTACCTATCACATTCAAATTTAACCTTGCTGGTGATTTCTCTGTGCATGGTATTTTGTTTTTCTAGTCACATTAGGAGTATGACCTCTAGTTGTGCATAAAGATCACTGTTCTTGGCAAAGAGACAGTTGCATCTAATTACAGGCAGTTGGCCAGGTCTGTATCTCATACTCGCAAAAAGGAAGGTATCACCTTTGTGCGTCAAAGGTGTTTGAGCACCTTCTACTTCTGCAGTAGGGCACCAGGCTTACCCTGAACAGTCGTCATTCCTTCTGCATGACAGAGATGCTCTACAGGAGTATTCCCATACAACTGGAAGGGATCCCATGGGCCATCGAGTCCAGTTACATGCAGTTGTGATAGCTACTGTATCCAAGAACTTATCCTTACAAAATGAGCAACTTTACCTTGTGCTGCTTCTCTGAGGGGGAGAGGGGAAAGAACAGGTAACTAAAATAAGGAAAAGAGGAAGTATATTGTGGACAGCAAGGTGTAGTTCTGCACCCCAGATTACCATTTCCAATTGTGTATGCTGATAACACTGTGCTTGTGCCAAGGCAAGCAGAATGGTTTCCATAGTGAGAACAGAACCTTTTTTGATTCAACTTAGCTCTCTCTTCTCTCAAGAAACGAAGGACCTTTAAAGATGAAAACTTGCTGGCCCTTTGGGAACTATAACTTATTCAGCTCTTGTTCCTTGCTAGCTTCCTCACGTGCTTTTTGATGAAATTCCTTCAGTGCTAAATTATCTGAACTCTCTCCGAACCCTCACTCACACATCACAAAGGGTTAAAAGTCAGGAGTAGCTTAAAATGATCAAACTACGGCATCCATGACAAATGGAGCCTCATTGATGAGATTCCAGAGAATAGTTCCAGATGGTGTAGCTGTACGTAAAATACATGGCCAAGCACTCCTACCTGGACCTTTTGTCAGCAAGCATCTTAAGATCTGATGTCAAAGAAGAGTTCTGCCTCAAAACTTTGCAGGGATGGAGGACAAATACTTGTTAAATGAATCTTGGCAAGCTCTCAAGATTATGCAGTGGTTGTTAGGGTATATTAAATATCTGTGGCTTAAACATTTTTCTGTTAACTGGTTAATTTCTAGCAACTTGTTTAGCCTATTTAATTAAAAATAAATTGGTGTGAGTGTTCTAAAACCTTCCCTTTTAGGCTTATAATGCCAGGTTTTGAAAGTCTGCTGGTATAGAGCTTGTTCTTGGATCACAAGTCACTATGTAGGATGAACCTATCTGTAAGTTACTGGTGGGAATTGTAACAGGCGTCTTCAGCCCATCTCCTGGGACACCTGGATGAACACAGCTCATGTGCTAGAAAGGAAGGTCTCCTTCTGACTAGTGATGGGTTGTTTGAACAACCTCGTCTACCTACTGTTCTTGTTGGACATGAGATGATACTTTGAAATCACTCTTTTTTTGTCCACTTGCTAGATCCATGTGGGTTGTCTTTCAACTTTCTTATTCCTAGGCAAGGGAGAATAAAGTGGGTCCCTCCTTGGCAGCAGTTAGTCAATAAAATCTGAAGTGATGCTTTCAATCACTTTGCAAATTTATGCATGTCTTTAGCTATGCTCCAAATAAGTTAGGGAACCCTTGAGTAGAAATGGTATGTGGGTATCAAAGAAGGAGCAAAGCATGTCAGCATGAAAGGAAAGAAGCTGGAGATTGCAGGTGCAGGACTTGTCAGAAATGAAGTGGAAAACAAAGGGGAGAGTGGAAAATGATTGACACCCTGTGGGACAGATGGCATGTTTTTGTAGTTTGCTCAGGTTCAGTTTTTGCCTGTTTTATGCAAAGACACAGAACGCTGGCCAGAGTAAATGGGTATGAATCTGCTGACTTCAGCATAGCTGGACTGCTTCGTGCCTAGTAGGGACCTGGCCTGTATGTGAGACAGGAACTAGAAATAGTTCAAAAGCTGCTTAGATCAATTTTTGCCCTTTGAGCTTTTGATTAAAAAATAGAATTAAAATAGTTAGATTTTTGTGGTTATATTGTATAGCTTTGCTGCTAGTGTTATGTGGATGCCTGGAGATGTTTTACTTGGTGTTATTAAGGTAGCTTGGGTCTTTATACCATGATGTTGTGTGGTGTCAAAACTGCTTCTGCCTGTTGAAGAGAGGATGCTGGAATTCTTGGGGCCACAGGAGTGCACTGTGTATATTATGAGGGACACGGTGGTCTCATTTGAATAAACTGTTCATGGATAAGATCAACCCTGGTAACTAGCCAACTTCATTGCAAAATCCAAAATTATGTGCACCTGCATTCTGCAGATTAGGCCACAGATGTCAAACATCACTTGTAGTTCACAATCTCGTAGTTGCCAGCTACCAACTTGAGAATGAATTTTCTTTAAAAGGCAGCTTTCTGAGCTGCAGTAAATCTGTCACAAGTTTGAAGATATTTAAGGTCAAATTATTAAACAGCTCTGCTTTCTTAAAAGTCATCCTGTTTTGGTTTTTCACCTTATGTAAGAGAGGGGAGAAAGTCCTATTTAGTCTGTCTGGACTGTGAAACTGGAATGCATTAATGCCATTCTGTTTTATAAGCTTGGGGCTTGATACTCCAGAGAACATTTTTAAGAGGGAAGTAAATGTGCTGAAACACTCAGGTAAACAATCAAAATGCACACAGGGTATACGAATCTACATCATAACAGCAGGCTTGAGTAAAATTTGTAATGCATCGTATTTAGGGTGAGCTATTTGGCAGCTACTTTTTAACACTTGGCACTTATGTAATATTTTACATTTTCTAATTAACAAAGCAAAAATAGCAAGGTGAAGTCATCCCACTGAAATCACATGTTGATGCAAATATTATAAAAATACCAGCCTGTGGAGTGAGGAAGAGAAGGATTGACAGTCCTTTTCAAAACAAACTGGTAAATGTTGATATTAAAGGCACTGTTTTTACTGGAAGTGAACTGTGAAATGACAGACAAAAAAGATAGTGGTATGCACACACCTCTCCAGCCAGCACGGTATATAGGTGGTTGTTCCAAGTCAAGGCTGTAAAAGGACTGGCATGACCTTTGGAAATCAATGAGGGAGGATGGGAGAAGTAGTTGGGCCTGAGTGTTCATGAACAAGAGAAAAATGGTCTGTCTTCTCTGCACTTCAGCAGCAATTTGTGAAGAGACATCACTTGAGCCAAGGGTTGAATTTCAAAAAGAGGATGCTGCAACAACGATAAGCTCTTAAATGCTCTGGTGTAGTAGTAGTCTGCTACACAGTGTGGTTTACTGGATGGCAGTAGAGAGTTCAATCTATAAAGGCCAGTTAAAATTGCCAGGAGGGACATAGTCACTTTAGCAGTAACATGTTTGTATTATCTTCTCCTTATAGTAAGGGCTTGATTATGTGCACATTTGTCTGCTCATTAGACAAATTGGACAAAGATCTGAGTTAGTCTCCCTTCTGCCTCGGCTCCTAATATATTTGTACTACAGGGCATACCACAAAATGTCTGTTCCTACCAACTATGTGGTAAAGCATCCAGTTTCAGTCATGTAGTTGTGAGTGTGCCAGCACTAAAGCAGATTCTATGTGGAAATGCTTTACGCTTCTGTTTTATGTTCAGGAGAGGAACCAGATAGGCCTGCCTGCGGTCCTGTATTCTCGGATGGAGAGACTAGGAAACACACTTTGATTTGTGAATCTGTGCTTTGATTGTCACGTGAAAAATTTGCAACTCTTTTCCTTTCCTTATGCGCACAGATATGCATAGTCTATGCTGAATTTTTTGCTACTGTGAAGCAGAACTTAAAGGTGTTTTTAGTCAGACAGCTAGCTATAAAATAGAAGGTGCAGCCACACCATCTGGTTTTGTAATAATGTCCTATGTCATACCAAGCAAGATTAAACTATTAAGCTTGAACAGGAGATCTGCAGGTGATAGTTAGGTGTTCCAGTTAACAGCATTGCCATTGCTTCCTTTGCAGCTGAAAGAATGAGCATGTGTTGGAAGGGTCAGTACCGTTGGCAGGACTGTTCTCCAGTGGAGGTGTGCAAACAAGGATCACCTGGTCACTTTGGCAAGCAGGAAGAAAAAAGAAAATTCCTGCTTAGAGGTTATATCGTGGCTAATTAAAACAAATAAATACTGCTTCTCTAAAGTCAGTGTAAATTTTATTCAAGAAAGTCTTATCATTCTGTGAGTAACAATCTTGCTCTTTATACAAGCTTATAATAGGTCCACCTGAGAGCAAAGCTCCACATATTTAAGGGTATTGTGCGAACACCCCACAAACAAGTTACAGTCTAAAGATGAGTGACATAGGATCAGAAGGGACACAAGGTCATGGGGAGGTTGGGTGACTGACTTGTAGTCACTCAATGGGTCAGTGGCAGAATTGGTATAGGCACTCTTGCTTTGTAACCCAGTGCCTAAGCTACAGGCATCTGTGCTGAGTACTATTGCTATGAATAATGACTTTTTCCAAAGAGATGGGTTTGATTTCCATAATTTTGGAAGACTTGTGAAATCCTTCTTTGGGATTAATGTGATATGTTTTTAAAATGAAGCTGTTGGTAAACTGGAAACTTAGTCTCTTGAGTCCTCAGTTGTGTAAAGTACTCAGCTTGAAAGCTTTGATCTTCGTCTTTATCAAAACTGTTTGCAGCATTGTCATAGGTTTCTGCACCTAGATATGCTTGGAGGGAAATCGCTTCTATTGCCATGCAATTTGAATTCAGTGGAAAACCCAGACTGGCTTTCTAATTCAGTGCTGGTATTAGTGATTCTGTTGTTGAAGTTCATGTGATCTGTGAAGCAGAATATGGGATATTCTGGGATCCAGTGGAATTTTTTTGTTAAACAATGTGACTTCCAGACCTGGTAGAATGGGGACTCAAACTTGATCACTCTCTATGGTACCACTTAAAGATTCCGATGATCAGATTTTGCAGTTTCCGCACTGAAAATCCCTCAGTCAGTGGATTTGTGGGGAAAAGGTGCTATGCTAGTCCCTGTGTCAGAGTACCATGGAGACAGATGTTTGCTGTTTTTCTTCTCTTTCTAGACTGAACAGCAGTATTGTTAGACATCATGTATTTAAATGTAAACACTGAGTCAATCTATCTCTGCAGGGCAGAACTCTCCTCTTTGACCCATCAGTCATCAGTGTTAGGCTTATCTGAGTCTATGCTCTGTAACAGTGAGCTGGACCTGGAAGGGGTTAAGGTCATGCTACATGCTGCCTTCATCTGAAATAAGTGCAGAGCTGAGATCTTAACCCCTTCAAGTTCTGCTTGCAGAGCAGTTTTTTACTTGGCAGCAAAGTGAGTAACTGATATGAGAAAGTATAATGCGCACCTGGCTGTAAGCCCTGGAACTAGAGATAGAAGCTGGGTTTCAGGATAGCACAGGCAATGGCCTGTCTACCTTATCTGAACCATACAAAGGTGGAAGTTCAGATGGGTTGCTGGTTATTTAGCACCCTACTAGGAGAGTTGCTCAGAGAAGCTTTGCTGGGGCTGAATTCTGCACATTGCTCAATTCTGGGCCTGAATTACTTGGCTTATGCTCAGCCATCCAGTTTCAGGCTGTTAGTATTAACACAAACACAACTCCCTCTGGGAGGGCCTTTCACTGCATGGACATTGTGCTCCAGCACTTTTTAGAGGAACCTTCCAGAGCCCTTGGATGACCATAAAAATTATTGCCAAGGAAATTAGTCAGCTCTTAACTGGCTCATAGTTTGATTGTGTAGGTTCATATTTGTCTTTGGGATTGTGAGCGTTAACTCCATGGCTGCCTCATTGACGTGCAGGTAATGGTCCTTGATGCCTTATATTTGTTTGTTTGGGGCTCTTTTCCCCCTGCAGCTGTGTGGTGTATCTGGTAGCTTTTGAAGAAACCAAATGGTGTTTGTAACCTAAGTGGGGTTTGCTTTTATCTTTGTAGATGCTGGCCAAAGCAAGTGCCGATTGGAGAGAACTCAAGCACTGGAACAGGCAAAGAAGCCCCAGGAAGCAGTCTTCATCCCAGAATGCAATGAGGATGGATCATTCACACAGGTAAAACTTTTATTGGCTTCCTCCAGCCAGGCTCCCAGTGGCTGCAGGACACTCACTATTAAGGCATGAGCCAAGTGATGATAGCAGCATGGATGCTCTGACTCAGTTACTTAGGTGAAAGTGTTGAGAGCTGGGACTTGTTTAACAAACTGGAAGCTTTGATTCCATAATGGCATCCACCTCCAATGTAGCACAGAAACAAAATGGCATCAACCTCCCACATAGCACAGAAACAAAAACAAGCTGTGGGGGAGATCAATTTTTCCCTGAAAATGAGCTGCAAAGAGAGCTGTGGCTCACAGAACAGGGTGGACCAAGCTTATTCTGCTGTTATCTGTGCTTCGTCTATCTCAGCAAAAGAGTGGTCTATTGAGCCTCTTCCTCCTGCAGGGTACTTAGTAGTGACAGACTCCTGTTTCCTGTTCTATGCGCTGTTGTGGTTTGGGGGTCTGGCAGAGAGGTGATGAGACTGCTTTGTTTGGGGTTTTGATTCTTCACCGTCTACTTGCTGGAACTAAGTGATGTGCTGGGATTGCAGACTGTTTCATAATGCTTCTTCTCCTGAGAAGCAATTATCTCGGGCAGCACTAGCAGAGGAGCCTTACGTTTGGTCTTTAATATCTGTGAAAAAAGAATAGTCAGTCCTGGCCACTGAGCATCCTTCAGAAATAGTTGGACTGGGAGAGGTCCTACAGAATTCCAGAGAAGTTGAAGTAGTTATAGCAAAAAGAAAGCCCTCATGAAGGAGACTTTGAGAGGAAGAGTAGTTTGCCAAGGCAGAGTAGAAATGAAGAGTGATACTTGGTTCCGTTACCACTAGCATATTGAATAGTGTCCCAGGGCTAACTGAACTGGGCCTTAAAAATGGCTCCTGTGCAGTTCCCTAGCAGGTAGGAGGGGTACGCTGTCTGCTCAGTTCAACATATGTCTCAAAAATCAAAATCCTGCAACCCTGATGACCTCTACTTTGTAAACTTAGGTAAATCACACAACTTTGGTTTTGCCTTAGCTTCCCTATATCTAGCACTGCTCTGGAGATCTTGTGCCTTAGAGAAATTTTAGGATTCGTTAGTTATTGTTTGCAATGTCTTTTGAAGGTAAAAAAAATCCAAAATAAAATCAATATTGGCTTCAAAAAGATGAGAAAGACAAAAAGCTGTGGGGTTGGTTCAAACACTTTGTGCTGCCTGGGGGAAGATGAAAGATTTTTTTTGTGATAACCCACCAAAAATTTTTATTCTTTCAGCCTTACCCTCCCATTATCTGGTGTGTGGGAGTGTTTTTATTTTGTTTTTTAATGGTGAAGTGGGAAAAGTTATCCATCCTGCCAACTTTGCATATTTCTTTGGAGCAGCATCATATTTGTGTATGGTGTGGACCATCTTGAGAAGGTGGGGGTAAGAGAGAAGGTGGCTGCAGTTTCTTGCGGTCTAACTACACTCAATTGTTGAAATTTGATTTTGTGTAGAGCTGCTCAGGTTATGTTGGCACTGGAAGGGAATACTCATAAAACCTAGCACAGTGGGCCAACTGAGTGTTCCATGTTAAACTCTATGGTTCAAAAAAAGAAAAGGGGAGAGGAAAGCTGACTTTCCAATTTCTGTCATCCGTCCATCAACCTCTTGGAGAGTAAAGTAGGGGGTGCAGGACTGAGAGTGCAGTTGATAAAGCTTTGTTTCAGACAGGTTTACTTGTAAGGTTGGTACTGGTGTCTATATTGCAAAGCAGTTGCTGGGCCTCTTTTCTGCGCATTCCCTGGCCAGTGTGTGTTGCCAGTGAAGGGGCAGCATGAAACTGCTTACAAAAATTGTGTGTTTTCAGCTGGCAGCTGAGCAATATTTCACATTCTTCTGTTCAGTCCTATCTGTGAACACTGAAATGCTTTTGTTTTACCTGGCATGAGGAAGGAAGCCTCTGATCCCTTTGTAGCTGGAATTAACTGAAATTCATATCATTCCTTGGATTGTAAAAATACCCCACGTTCCACATACCTCAGGAACCAGCTTAATCATTTATATTGCAGCATTTAAGGTCATTGTCCCTGCATAAGATGTGAATGAAAAACAATGTCCAAGGAAGCTAGCTGGTTTCAGCCTGCATTTGAGAGAAATATTTCCTTTAGCTTCTGGTCCCAATTAATTAAACTTTGATTTTAAAAGGATGTATGAAAACTAGAATTTTGGTGAACAGTCTAAATGGTTTTTGCTTCCAGCAACTCATGAATAGAGCTCATCTGGTGGAGGTGGCCTGGATACTGCATCTCTTGTGCAGAGGATTAGCAACCCCAGGTTCTGCTCTGCAGGGAAGCTGGGTAGGCCAGTTCTTGAAGACCCTGAGGCCTTGCTGAAGTCAGCTCTGAACTGTTATTAGTTTATTCTGGTTCACTACCCAGAGAGTTGTTCCATCCAAACTACAAAATATCTGTTGGGAAGTCCAGAACAGAGCAGCATCTCTCAAGAAAGTTTCTAGGAGAAATAACCTACCATGCTCTTCAACCTTAAATCCCCAACCCAACAAGAATTAAAGCAGATGCATATGCTTCAGCATATACCCTGTATGTAGAGTTGGCTAGGAAAATTTTTTCAACAACTTCCTTCTGTGTAACTGTTCTTGGAGGAATATTTTGGATAGAAGAAAAGTTCTGATCAGAGGGGTAACAATGATGCACGCATAATTTTGAATATCGAATGTCTTAATTGTTACAGCACTCACTCAAGATGTAGATGACTTGCTTCTAGGTCTTCAGCTGAGCCTCTTTTTTGTAGGTGCATACACAGTAGTTGTTCAGGTCCACATCATTGTCCTTGCCATCAGACTTCAAAAGATCTGTTTTTTTGTCTAATTAGTTGTTGGAAATGCTTTATAGTTTTGTAGGAGTGGAAAAACACAAACAATGCAGGCTTGGGAGCTGCATTTGGGAGTGATAACTGGATGTTCACAGAACCTGCTTGGGCTTAACCAGATTGAACTGTTGCTTTTGTGGTTTATCATCATCTTCTGAATTAGAAGCTAAATTGCAATCACTATGGGTAAACACTGAAAGCAGCACTAAGTGAGGCTGTTCCTCTGCAAGCAACTCAAGTCTGCCCTTTCCCGCTCCTGGAACTGCACGCAGTACAAAACTGTGTGAATTTGGGGCTGGATCCACAGCAAATTGGATGGGCTGGAGAGAACATAGCTGCTCTGCTGTTCTGTGACCAGCAGCATGTGCTGCATGGGGCTGTGGCTGCAGAGGGGAGACCACGCTCGCCTTATCTCCTCCCAGTTCCCTGTAGAGCAACTGGCTCTGAGACCCAACAGTTGGATGTGGTAACAGGGGTGAAAGGGAGGAGGCCCTGAAGGAAAAGACCTTGGTTTGGCTTGCATTTAAACTCTGCATTAGAAAGACATCCTGTGTGTCTTAAACACTTGTATAATCTGTCTTTTTTTCATTGTCTGTAAAACTAGACCAAAAAAGTGTTGCCATTGATTCTATTGCTTGGATGGCCAGTTTTCCTAGCCATGGGTAGTTGTAATGGGTTTTCTGTACTGTATGAAGAGGAGGAGGCACCTGTCAATTAGCTGGTTTTCATAGCTGTTTCTATGCTCCAAGTCTGCTGCTTTCCTTATTCTGCAAGTTTGTGTATTGAAAAGATTTTTATCAAATCCCTTTTTAGCACTGCTTACACATAAAAATGTGGCATGGATTGCAGCATGGAAGAGGTGGTGGCATTGCAGGCATGATGGGATGACTGTAAATGGGAGCAGACCTGATGAGTTGCTCTGGAATTGCTATTTCTTTGTATTTCAGTCTGTGTGTGGAATATTACTTCCTATAACAAAAGTTTTCTGCACTTAGCCCACAGTAATATAAGCACACAGATAAAATATGAGTTACTTGCAGAATAAGAATGTTCATTTGATAGGAGTAATTTGATTAATTATGTAACTGAGGTCACATACTGTTGTGCAAAATTGGACATGACTAAAACCAGTTTCTGTTCCCAAGACTTGCTCTCTTCTTTTTGCTGTTATGCTGTATTTAAAATAAATGCCATTCCCTTTCCATGCTGCACTTAACCTGCTGTGATCTGTTCTTCATAAACAACAGGCTCTATTGGGTAATCTGCACACTTTCTTTTGCTGCCTAGTGCCATCGGGCTTGTTGCTATGGGCTGAGAGAGACTTGCATTCTTCATATTTTCCCCCCAAGCAGTTTTGCAGAAAAGGTTGCTGAGGTTTTAAACGGGATCCATTTCAGACAGATTAATATGAACATGAATAATGTTAACCCTGCTTTGGGGGTGTAGGCTTGTGGGGCTTTTTATGGTGTCTTGCTATTTGCTGCCACCTTCCACTGTCTAGCTGTGGTTTCTTTCCCTTGCAAGTCTGCATACAAGTGGCTGAGAGCAAGTCTCCTTGGAGAGTTTCTTTGACTTTAGGGCTCTCAAAACTGCAGCTGCTGGCACAGTTATGATGCAGCACTGAGATTTCTCTTGGAGTGCATCAGTCAAACCTGTTGTCTTATGACTGGATCAGTTAGTGGGCTGATTTTGTCAGAGCAGTTTATCACATAACTTTCAGAGCGTTCCCACATCTGGTAATACAAATCTCTTTGGAAGAACTGATCTATATTAGGGTCCATAGCAATAGTTTACAAATTGTAATGCATGTACAAAGTACAGCTTTCTCTTAAGTCCTACAAACAAACCCCTTTCTACAGAAGTCAGGAACGCGCTCTTTGTCTTCAGTGTGACCTCATGATCCACGTCTGTTCCTCTGTGTTGGCTAGTGTAGCATGATGCTGGGAAGAATTACAAACTCATTCCTTAATGCAGCACAGTGCTGCGGGGCACTGTGTAGACACGTCCCGCATTCCCTGGATGCTGTCTATTATTCCATTATTCAGAGCTCATACTCTAGCAATACTAAGCTCTCAAGGACTTAACCTCTCCTTTCAAAAGGAAAGAACCACAGTCTGTCTTGCTAGATTAAAGAAACTTTCTTCATAAAGAGTCTGT